GGCATTCCCTCTAAAATCTGGAACAAGACAGGGATGCCCTCTCTCTCCACTTCTCTTCAACATAGTTCTCAAAACACTGGCCAGAGCAATTAGACAGACGAAAGAAATTAAAGGCATAAAAATAGGAAAAGAAGAACTTAAATTATCACTATTTGCAGATGATATGATTCTATACCTAGCAGACCCAAAAGGCTCTACAAAGAAACTATTAGAGCTAATAAATGAATTCAGCAAAGTGGCAGGATTTAAAATCAACACGCATAAATCAAAGGCATTCCTGTATATCAGCGACAAATCCTCTGAAATGGAAATGAGGACAACCACTCCATTCAAAATATCTTCAAAAAAAATAAAATACTTGGGAGTCAACCTAACAAAAGAGGTGAAAGACTTATACAATGAAAACTACAGAACCCTAAAGAGAGAAATAGAAGAAGATCTTAGAAGATGGAAAAATATACCCTGTTCATGGATAGGCAGAACTAACATCATCAAAATGGCGATATTACCAAAAGTTCTCTATAGGTTTAATGCAATGCCAATCAAAATCCCAATGGCATTTCTTGTAGAAATAGAGAAAGCAATCATGAAATTCATATGGAAAAATAAAAGACCCAGAATAGCAAAAACAATGCTAAGCAGGAAGTGTGAATCAGGCGGTATAGCGATACCAGACTTCAAACTATACTACAGAGCAATAGTAACAAAAACAGCATGGTACTGGTACCAAAACAGGCAGGTGGACCAATGGTACAGAATAGAGGACACAGAAACCAATCCACAAAACTACAACTATTTTATATTTGATAAAGGGGCTAAAAGCATGCAATGGAGGAAGGATAGCATCTTCAACAAATGGTGCTGGGAAAACTGGAAATCCATATGCAACAAAATGAAACTGAATCCCTTTCTCTCGCCATGCACAAAAGTGAATTCAAAATGGATCAAGGAGCTTGATATCAAATCAGAGACGTGCCGTCTGATAGAAGAAAAAGTTGGCTACGATCTACATACTGTGGGGTCGGGCTCCAAATTCCTCAATAGGACACCCATAGCACAAAAGTTAATAACTAGAATCAACAAATGGGACTTACTCAAACTAAAAAGTTTTTTCTCAGCAAAAGAAACAATAAGAAAGGTAAATAGGGAGCCTACATCCTGGGAACAAATCTTTACTCCTCACACTTCAGATAGAGCCCTAATATCCAGAGTATACAAAGAACTCAAAAAATTAGACAATAAGAGAACAAACAACCCAATCAACAAATGGGCCAAGGACCTGAACAGACACTTCTCAGAGGAGGACATACAGTCAATCAACAAGTACATGAAAAAATGCTCAACATCTCTAGCTGTCAGAGAAATGCAAATCAAAACCACCCTAAGATACCATCTCACTCCAGTAAGATTGGCAGCCATTAGGAAGTCAAACAACAACAAGTGCTGGTGAGGATGTGGGGAAAAGGGTACACTTGTACATTGCTGGTGGGACTGCAGATTGGTGCAGCCAATTTGGAAAGCAGTATGGAGATTTCTTGGAAAGCTGGGAATGGAGCCACCATTTGACCCAGCTATTCCCCTTCTTGGTCTATTCCCTAAAGACCTAAAAAGAGCATGCTACAGGGACACTGCTACATCGATGTTCATAGCAGCACAGTTCACAATAGCAAGACTGTGGAACCAACCTAGATGCCCTTCAATAGATGAATGGATAAAAAAAATGTGGCATTTATACACAATGGAGTATTACTCTGCATTAAAAAATGACAAAATCATAGAATTTACAGGGAAATGGATGGCATTAGAGCAGATTATGCTAAGTGAAGCTAGCCAATCCCTAAAAACAAATGCCAAATGTCTTCTTTGATATAAGGAAAGTAACTAAGAACAGAGTAGGGATGAAGAGCAGGAGAAGAATATTAACATTTAACAGGGATGAGAGGTGGGAGGGAAAGGGAGAGAGAAGGGAAATTGCACGGTAATGGAAGGAGACCCTCAGGGTTATACAGTGGAGGGGGTAGAGAAAGAGGAGGGGAGGGGAGGGGAGAGGTGGGGAGGGGGGAGGGTGGAGGATGGGAAAGGCAGCGGAGCACAACAGACACTAGTATGGCAATTTGTAAATCAATGGATGTGTAACTGATGTGATTCTGCAATCTGTGTATGGGGTGAAGGTGGGAGTTCATAACCCACTTGAATCAAAGTGTGGAATATGATATGTCAAGAAATTTGTAATGTTTTGAACAACCCACAATAAAAAATTAAAAAAAAAAAAAAGAAAGAAATTGAAGAAGATCTCAGAAAATAGAAAGGTCTCCCATATTCTTGGATAAGCAGAATTAATATAATCAAAATGACCATACTACCAAAAGCAATATACAAATTCAATGCAATCCCCATCAAAATAACAATTACATTCTTCATGGAACTAGAAAAATCAGACCTTAAATTCATCTGAAAAAATAAGAAAACTAGAATAGCCAAGACAATTTTAAAAACTGATGCAGGAAGCATCATAAACCCAATCTAAAATTATTCTAGCTAGCTATAGTAACAAAAACAGCATGCTATGACATCAAAATATACTTGAAGACCAATAAAATAGAAGACTTCAAGACAAGCTCAAATACTTACAGCATATGATTCTTAGTAAAGGTGCTAAAAATGCAGAAATCTGGTTATCCACATTTATTGTATTTTTTTAATCATTCAGAAATTTTTAAATTTTGTTGTTATTAGTTACACATGATAGTAGAATGTATTTTGAGATATTATACATATATGGAATATAACTTCCCATTCTTCTGGTTGTACATGACGAGGAATTACATTGGCTATGTATTCATATATGTACATAGGAACATAATGTCTGATTCATTCTGCTATCTTTCTCATTCCCCCTTTTCCCTTCATTCCCCTTTGTCTAATCCAAAGTACTTCTTATGCCCCCACCACCACTTATTGTGATGTATTAGCATCAGCATATCAGAGAGAACATTTGGCATTTGGGGGTGGGGATTGGCTTATTTATGTAGCATGATATTCTCCAGTTCCATCAATTAACCAGCAAATGCCATAATTTCATTTCTCTTTATGGCTGAGTAATATTTTCATTATGTATATATACCACAATTTTTATACATTTATCTGTTGAAGGTCACCTAGACTGGGTTCCATAGTTTAGCTATTCTGAATTGAGCTTCTATAAACATTGATATGGCTGTGTCACTGTAGTATGATGATTTTAAGTCCTTTAGGTCTAAACCGAGGAGTGGGATGACTGGATCAAATGGAGATTCCATTCCAAGTTTTCTATGGAGTCTCCATACTACTTTCCAGACTGGTTGCACTATTTGCAGGCCCACCGGCAATGTATGAGTGTACATTTCCCCCACATCCTCACCATCGTTTATTGTTACTTGTATTCTTGATTATTGCATTTCTGACTGGAAGAGAAAATCTTTGGCATCTGCACCTCAGAGCATTAATCTGCAGGATATATAAAGAACTCAAAAAACTTAACACCAAATAACAAAAACAAAAACAAAAAATACCCAGTTAATAAATGGGCAAAGGAATTGAACAAGCACTTCACAAAAAAAAGAGAAACAATTGGTCAACAAATATATGAACAAATTTTCAACATCTCTAGCAGTTAGAGAAATGCAAAGATTCCATCTCACTCTAGTCAGAAGGACAATTATCAAGGATATCCATATTTAGAAGAAAGAAATTAGATATGAAATTAAATCCTTATCTCTCACCCTGCACAAAAATCAAATCATATGGATCAAAGACTCAGGAATTAGACCAGAAAGCTTGCAACTGTTAGAGGAAAATATAGGGTCAGCACTCCATCATATGGTTTCAAGCAATGACATCCTCAGCAAAACCCCTGAAGCTCAAAAAATGAAACCAAGAACCAATAAGTGAAATATCATCAAACTAAAAAGCTTCTGCACATGAAAGGAAATAATCAAAAGAGTGAAGAGAGATCCTACAGAATGGGGGTGGAAATGTCTTGCCAGCCACTCCTCTGGCAGAGAATTAAAATCCAGAATATATAAAAAATTCAAAAACTCTATGCCCCAAAACAAATAATCCAATTAACAAATAGGTCAATGAAACTTCAACTAGGTCAAATACAAACTTCTCAAAAGAGGAAATGCAAATGGCTAACAAATATATTTTTTAAGTGTTCGATATCTCTAGCAATCAGGGGTATGCAAATCAAAACTACCCTGAGATTTCATCTCTACCCAATAAGAATGGTAATTATCAAGAATACAAACAATAATAAATGCTGGATAGGATGTGGGGAAAAGGATATATTCAGACATTATTGGTGGGACTGCAAATTAATTACAACCACTATAGAAAGTAATATGTAGATTCCTCAAAAAACTAGAAATGGAATGACCATATGGACCCAGGATTCTACTCAGTATTTGTCTAAAAGAACAAAAATGAGCATACTATAGCAATATAGCCACCACAATTAGCAGGCTAACAATTCATAATTGTCATATTATGGAACCAACCCAGATGTCCACCGGCAAATGAATAGATCAAGAAATTGTGGTATATATGCACAATGGAGTTTTACTCAGCCATAAAGAAAAATAAAATAAAGGCATTTGCTGGTAAATGGAGAAAAATTATGCTAAGTAAAATAAGCTAGACTCAGAAAATCAAGAGCCAAATGTTTTCTCTCATATTAGAAGCTCTAGCAAAATAAGGGAAAGAAGGTGGCAGGAAATGAGATTGGAAAGGAGATAAATCAGTAAAGTAGATGGAAAAGACGAAGAAGGAGGGAGGAAAGAAGGTAAAGGGGTAGAAATATAGAATGAAATAAGCAATAGCTTGTTGTGCACATATATAAATGTACCAATCAAAAATAAATAAATAAAGGAGTGAGAGGAAGATCAATAGAAGAGACGTGAGAGAACACAGGGAGTTTCTTTGGCTCTGAAAGCATGATATGTGCACATGTCATTACTGACCTTCCCAGCAGTCTTGCCACATTCGCAAATCCATCTTTGGGATCTCACCACAACTCAGGTAGCCCTGTGGGTATTCCGCCTTCACAAAGACATCCGGCTGAACCTGCTGAATGTTGTCACCATTGTCGCAAAGCACACGGCCCAGTGACACCTGTTTCAGCTGAGTGAGTTGTGCAGGGGTAAAAACTCCAGGGTTTTCATACCAGAACCTGGTAGTTAACAGAAAAGACACAATTTCACGGGTCACTCAGGTGCATGTCCAACATCCACAGTGAGCCTTTGCTCCACAAAAAAAAAAAAAAAAGAAAAAAATACAAAGCAGATCTAAGATCGTGTTTGTGCTCCAACTAAATATACTTTTAATTCTTTCAAATATTTATAAAGCTGATCAACCCTATACTCTTCTGAATTATCAATCTCAAACTCAAGTTTTATAAGGTGATTCAAAGTCTTATAGAATTCTTATTTAAGAAAAAAAAACATTTTTTTAAATTTAAACTTTATGAACTGGCCTTAGAAATTTTCCAAGAAACTTAAGATAAATGTGTTTGCCTAAAAAGTAAATATAAGTTTTTAAATTCCACACATACCCTTTGGTTCTATTTACCAACTAATTAGAATAATGGATCCAATTTTAAATGAAAGGATGTAATTTAAAAGTGGATTGATACAGTGAGTCTTGTATTTGTTCATTCAATAAATATTTAAATACTAATGCCACGTGTGCTTTTTTCATACTGGTGTACAACAGTAAATTAAGATAGTAGGTGAAAAGACATTGCCCACTCAATTGAGTATCCATCAAAATTCATGTTAAAGTACTAAGCCCAGGTATTTTGAAAGATGACAATATTTGGAGACAAGACCTCTCTAAAGAAGGAACTGAAGTAAAACTAGTTTATATAGGTGGGTCCTAACCCAGTGTGGAGAGATGTAAAAATACAGAGAGACAGGTATTTGCAACCTGGGATGAAAGGCCCTAGTAAGAACCAACACTGCCAATCCTTGACCTGAGTTTTAAATTTCAGACTTGTGGTACTTTGTTACAGAAAATCCAGCAAACTAATACACTTAGGGAAGACAACTTACCCAAATATTGGCAGTTTCCCAGACTTTTCCAATGTTTGATTATATATATTTTTAAACTAATGCCAATGTATGTTTTTAAATTAATGCCAACTGAACATCTTATGCCAAACTACATAAGGCAAGAAATACAGAGCATTAAAAATAATTTACAAAAACTAATTCAATAAAATATACTATTAATATTTTCCAATGTATAATAATTAAGGGAATTAAATCTTTTGCTACTTTTTTTGTGATATCACCCTTAAGTGGAAAAAATTTGGAAGAAAAATGTTAAGAATAATTTTTAGGGTAAATTTAATTAAAGTCTAGGCTATGTTTCAAGCTTTATATACATCATTTCTGTAATAATACAAAAAGTTGAATTATTAAACCAATTCACAAAAATCCTAAATCTTACTATTAAACTGTCTTAATGAATCAGAAGATACCATGTCTTGAAACATATTTGGTTCCAAGTGTCAGAAGAGTGATACACGAGCATTCAGGGGAGCTGCTTAGTAGGTTTGGATTTCTTAGCTTTTATATTGAGTCTTACGATGATAACAGAAATTGCCTGACTAACTTACATTCTCCAGTCAGCTTTCTTCCATAATCTCATAAATTCAAGTTATTTTCTATAAATACTTTAGAGAAATCAGGAAATTTTAGAGAAGAGTCTCCAGTTATCTCTCCACTCAATGCCCTCGTTGTATGATTTTACAAAGAGGCTGGCCAATAATTCTCCTTCCATGAGACTGGAAGGAGGAGGCTCAGAACTGCTATCAACCTCTGCCCTCTCAATATCATTTAAGGATGCGGGGGTACTGCAGAACAGGCACTATAGTCACACACACTTTCCAGATGAGGAGCCTGGAATAGAGTCAGGTGTTGCCCAAAGTTAAACAGTTATAAGGAGTATTGCTCAATAGTAATTCTAACATGCATCCTCTCAACCACTGACTTCTGTGCCCTTCCAAGACATTCTATTTCTTTTCTTCTTACAAAGATTTACAAAAGAAATGCCATCTGGTATTATCAGTGGTCAGAAAAGTTTTGAGACCGTACCTACCTTTTATTTATTATATTTAATAAATTTGAAATCATAGAAAATATGGAATCACACAATAATATTATTTTACACATATATTTGGGAGCAAGAAAACAATTTTGATAAGCATAACAGATAATTCTTCACCTATCTCCATCTCTTAGCCGCTGAAACTGGGTAACAAAGAGGCACATAAGTGTCGGTCCCACTCTCGTACCAGGAATCAGGTCTTCAACCATCAGGGCGGGCCATAAATCAATGTCACCTGGGGTGCTGTACAACCTGGAATGACACAGGCAGATAGCACACATTGGAAGTAGTCCTTACATGAATGACTACTAAACCTTACTTTTAGTTCAGTCACACAAAATGGAAAGGAAAATATCATTATTATTACCATTTTACACATAAAAACACTAAGGTGAAAAAAGGCATGCAGGAATCACCCAACTGACAGACAGGAAGCAGAGCTGTGATCTAACCAACAGAATTTAACACCAAAAATCACTCGTTGTGACATTCTTCAAAATTATCTCGTCAAACAATGAAATGTAAATGTATTTTACATAGTTGTATGTATATCCATATATGTCAATATATACAACTAATTCTTTCAGAGGCAGTGGAAAATAAAAACACTTAACTATGAAAAGTTTCCATCTTAGTGTATATAATAGATATGTCAAAAACTCAGAGTGAAAAATATTTTGTGGATCATAATTATCATATTTACTATAATAATAAATACATTAAAATGTTATTCTCACTATAGTTATTATAATACATTATATAGAATGTATAATAGTATATAATATTTATAAATATAATTATAAATAATATATAGTATACATTCTATATAATAACATATTAGTGTGATCATTATTAGGTATTATTATAAGGTTATTATAATAATATATTTTTTCATTATTATTATACTTATATGATGAAATCATAAGCATTAAATAAATTGTCCTGTTAAAAAGTCAATGATCACTTGATCTAGAATTTGGAGCCATTTTTAAAACTAAATAACAAATAGACAAACAAGAATTACTCAATGCAAATAGTAATAATAACCCAAATGGGCTTGGGCACATAACCAAAAAATTGATGTGGTTGCATCACTGTAGTAGAATGATTTTAAATCCTTTGGGTATAAACCAATGAGTGGGGTAACTGAGTCAAATGGTGTTTCCATTCCAAGTTTTCTAAGGAATCTCCACACTGTTTTCTACAGTGGTTGCACCAGTTTGCAGTCCCACTAGCAATGTATGAGTGTACGTCTTTCCCCACATCCTCCCCAACATTTATTGTTACTTGTATTCTTGATAATTGCCATTCTGACTGGAGTGAGATAGTTTTAGTTTGCATTTCTTTAATTGCTAGAGATGTTGAACATTTTCTCTCTCTTTTTTTTTTTGGACTATTTGTATTTCTCCTTCTGTGAAGAGCCTGTTCAGTTCCTTTGCCCATTTACTGATTGGGTAAAATATGAGCAATGTCCTGCACTCCAAGTAGAAGCCACCTTGATTAAATTGTATTCCCTGTCTCCAAACAATAAACATGATACAAAGTTAGTCTGCTTTTTGCTTTGCTTTATCTTTTTTACTGCAAGCAACGACTCACTACACTGCATACGGTTTAACTTTGCATGCTTTAAACTTGGCACAAATAAAAATATGGTGCCCTTGCTTCCTTTTTTTCTTTTTTAACTCAGTAAATTAGTCAGAGGTGCAATTGTGTTGTCGCACACCTCTGTACCTCCTTCATTTTCGCAACTGTATATTAAATAGTTCCTTACCGAAAACTATTCCAATTTAGTTTTCTGCTCTACTGGTAATGAATACTGTGAAGTTTTCAGTTTAAGTGCTATGAACATTCTCACATGTTTCTTCAAATGTGTAAGAGTATCTCTAGGCTAAGCACTGGTATTTTCTTTTACCATAGAGGTCCAGAGAGTAAATGTTTTCAGCTTTGTGGGACAATTGGTCTAGTTGCAACTACTCCTCCATTTTGCAGAAAAGCAGCCATAAACAACACAGAAAAAAAGGGACACAACTGTGTTCCAATACAGCTTCACAAAATCAGTCAGTCGGTTAGATTTGGTGAACGGGCAGTGGTCTGTAGATATCTGCTTTGGAGATACTGATGTTAAGAGCCAGAGAAGATGGCTGCAGAGTACACCTTCAATTGTAAGACATAAGGTCAAAATGCTGTCCAAAATGGATGTGCAATTCATACTTTTATAATGAGCATATAGAATTTTTCTGTAATACACATCCTTGTGCATTCTTTTAATTTTCATAAATAATGCCAAAATGCTATCCAAAGTGGATGAAAAATTCACATTTCCACAATAGTCATATAGAAATTCTCTGTAATCTATTTCCTGGCAAAGTGACTCTCTTATCCTTTGGCACAACTTAATTTAGTCTTTATCTTTTTTTTTTTTTAGTTAGACTCTAATATCCTCCCCCTTTTCTCCTCCCCTTTCCCTTCCTCACCCTCCTTCTCCTTCTTAGTTTCATCTTTCCATCTTTCTCTTCTCTTTCTCTCCCTTTATCTTACATTTGGTTTCTTAATTTCTGACAACAGGTGCTTTTTTATATTTCCAAGCACTCGTTTGAATGCTGAAGTGCTTATTTAATTCAAGTTTTAATGTGAAATTGTTCTTTCCCAATGTTTCAGTTTTTTCTGGAAGATTTTTCCTCTGAAAATATTTACATTTGCTGGTGAAGGCGTTCCTGCACCCAATGTCTGACAGGGTCGCAGCATTGGGGATGCTGTGGTGGGGCAGACCCATCTGGAAACCAGAACCATGAGGAATGTGTTAAGTGTTTTGTTTATGATATTCATGATATGGATAATAGGGCATATGTCAATCAATGATAAAAGTATATATTGCCTGAGATTGCAGGAAAATTCCTAGAATTGTATCCTACTAAAAATACAATTGAGAAATGCCACGAGGTGTGTTTCAATATCTCTCAAGATACAAACAATAGTGTTATTCCTCAAGAAATTCATAGGAAAAAAAAGATTGCAAATCTAGGTTCCTGAGAAAAGCTTAACAACTTACACTAAGCTCCCCACCCCACCTCCCCATTCTAAAGCCACAACCTGTATACAACATACATTCCCCCCACCAACAGACCCTCCTTTGCCTTACACAGGAATTTATGATGAGAATGGAAAACACATAATTAATATTAATGGCAAATGGGTTGAGGTGCAGAGCCTGCCCTTTAGTTAAAGATTACAAAGATATAAGAATTGGTGTGCTTTGACTGAGGATCATGGAAACTCTTTAAGAAAGCAGTTAAAATAGTTCATAGGAAAAAAGGATATTACCTTGGAAATTAAAAATAGAATAATGTAAAATTAATATAGATATATTTTAGAGGCACTTCAGAATAGTCGGCTTTTTAAGTAATAAGCTTTCACTATTTCACGTGTGTTTTACTGGAACTTTAGAAGTAAGAAAGCTTACCAATAATCAGAGGTATGCTTTAAAGTTAAAGATTAATGAAATAATTATAGGTATGCTTAAAGTTAGAAGTTAATAATAGGTCCAGAGACATGTAACCTAGCACCTAGTGATTGAGGTGAAAATATAAAAGCTTAATCATGATTGGCTAAGGTTATAGAAAAATATTTTAAACAATGTACTTAATATCTTAGGTAATCAATATATGTCAGAACTAAGATTGTAACTCTTGAAAATCATGTAAATCAAAGAAGTTTCAGACTTTGAGGCTATCCATTAACCACCTGGAAAAAAAAAAAAAAGCCTGTAAAAAAGATATAAAAATAAAAGCCCCTCTAGGGGCAGCAGATTTTTTCTAGAGGCTGCTCCTCACTTGCAACCTGCCTCTTCTTTCACCAATGCCACTCCTCCTTAAGTCCCCTGAATCCTGGCAAATTGCATTTATGTTTTATTGTTGCATGCCTTTATTTAACATTTGTCTGACCTCTTTTCATTCTGAAATATTTGTAAAATGAATTTCTCATTCGATAGCTTATTCTTCAATCACTGTGGTGATGTACAACATTTTTAATGGCAATGTTAGTGGTGCAGTGAAGTAGGAATTGAAATGTTTTCTTTCTTTTTTTTCCCCCATAGCATCTGTAATTTCACTTCATTCTGCTTTCAGATCAGAAGAGGTCACTATCTTTTCTCTACTCACTTCCTCTTTAATAAGTAAATGCTATCGCTGGACACTTTTGAGATTTGTAGCGGGCGCTGTGAACTTCTGGTTTCCACAGTTACTTTTGACAAAATGGTACTTGGTGTTGAACTTTTCCTTCTAGAGGAATTTTTTTCATCTAAGTTCTCTTCCCCTTTTCTTTGTCCTTGAAGATTTTTAAAGTACCCACTCCCTGAAAGCTCTAGAGTTGCAGGGGATGTAGAGTTCATGGGCAGTTCTGTTGCATATTGCTGAGTATTTTTAAACACAGTTATTTTGGAATTCACAGGCTTCTGTCTCTGCTAATTCTGAAGGCACAGGTTGTGTGTTATTTTTTGTGCACCCTCTTTGCTGATCTTATAGTTTTGGAGGAGGAGGCTGTGTTGAAAGATTTAAAATCAAGAGAAAATCATTTTCCTAGGTATAACCTGAAAATATGACTTTTTAAATATTTGTTAATCAATGGCTATGAAATTATGTTTTATTTAGATTTTGCATTTTTCAAGTTAATTATGTGATTGAGCACCTTCTACATATTGATTGGGAGTCTAATTTTCAACTATTTTCTTATGTAAAAGTGCCTATTTACACTTCCTATCCATTTTTAATGGGGGCATAGTTTTCTTTCTTACTATCAGGAACTCTATAAATATATATTCTGGATGCTAATACTTTTTTATGTCCAAATGTATTTACTCCATATTCGTGCTGTTTTTGGTCACTCTCATTTATGTTGGGTTTTGATACAAAATAAATTCTTTAATTCTACAGTCAAGTTATAAATTTTTATGGTTATTATGTTTTATATCTTACTTAAAATTTCTTTCCTTACCCAGAACTGATTTTCATATGATATGAGATAAGAATTAATACTCTTTTTTATGGGCTAGGGTTATAGCTCAGTTGATAGAGTGCTTGCCTTGCATGCACTTGTTTGCATAAGGCCCTGGGTTCAATCTGCAGCACCAGAAAACAAACAAACAAACAAATAAACCACTCTTTTTTTTTTTGTCCCTGGAAAGAGAGCCAATTATTGTTGTATCACTTATTGACATGTTCGGATTTCTCACTATGTCTAGCAGCTCTTTCAAATAT